CGCGACTAAACGAGACGAAATAACATTATAACATTTCATTTCGTTTCGTCTCGTTTTTGTCAACGAAAATGAAGAGACATTTTAGCATAGTTTTTATTTTGTAAACCACATTTAGTCTCGTTTTTATTCGTCAACAATATTGCATTATACATTTAATTATCGTCATCGTCACATGACCAGCATTTACGTTGCGTCTCGTTTTCGTCACGTGATAAAGGTTCGTTGACGACGATATTTAGTCATAATTTTCATTGACGAAAGCAACACTACCGCAGAGAGCTGTTGTCTCTATTTGCTTTTGTTGTTAGAAAAAAAAAGCAGTATGGATGTAAATTCTGCCAGATAATTTATTTTCATTTACACAAAAATAAAAAAAAATAAAATATATATACACATCAGGGCTTGCAAAATTTCAAAATCCCTGGTAGACATTTGGGCAGGCATTCTTCATGTTTTGGTAGCCCAAAATGAATTTAACTAGCGCAAATAAAAAAAGATATCGGCTGAACTTTACTGTGGACAAATCAGCATAATCAGCAAAAACTAGTAGCACATAGGGATGAATGATTCACTAAACTTGACATGCGATAAAATTCATGATACAGATTACACGATACAATTTTTTTACAACTTATTTATACATTAATTTTTTTACAAAATGAGATTTAAGACAAATTATAAATGAAAAAGTGTCCTTTTATTATTGCACAGGATATTTCTTTCTGCACTGTTTACGTTCACTTAAGACATAACCGACTGTGTTTACGAGAATAATTGCAGAGACAATAATTTTGAGATAATTTTGAGTGTATGCGTTCATTCAGAAGCAGGGATACGTGAAAGAGACTATCCCAAAAATATGCTAAATACATGTTATTTGGATTGTATAGTTTCAGAATTTGAGGCAAAAACAGAATGGTCTGATTTTAGCTTTGTGAGTGAGACGCAAATGTCACTCTCTGACAGCAGGTGGCACTAATAGAACAGCAGGTGTTTATAGGCTGCTGCCCCTTTAAGACCGAATGTACGGATCCAGTAATGATGCACAGAAAATTTCTTTCTCCACTGTTTACATTTACTTAAGACATAACCGACCTTGTTTACGAGAATACTTGCAGAGACAATTATTTTGAGATGATTTTGTGTGTATGTTTTCATTCAGAAGCAAGGATACGCGAAAGAGGAATCAATTCTGTGTACACGCATTGTCTGAAACGCGGCTCTCTGTGCGCGCAGAAACCAGCGCGCTAGCTCTGAATGCGCACAAATGTTTTAAAACGCTTGAATGTTTAAATCGGCAAGACTTAGAAACAAGTGCAAACGATCAGCTACAATCCATTTCACCCCTACAAGCGAGTGAAGTTCATTCAGAAGCAAGGATACGCCGAAAGAGGAATCAATTCTGTGTACACGCATTGTCTGAAACGCGGCTCTCTGTGCGCGCAGAAACCAGCGCGCTAGCTCTGAATGCGCACAAATGTTTTAAAACGCTTGAATGTTTAAATCGGCAAGACTTAGAAACAAGTGCAAACGATCAGCTACAATCCATTTCACCCCTACAAGCGAGTGAACAACGTGAATCAAGATAGCCCGTCGGGCAGGGCAGTGATACATTTTGGTAATCCGACTGGAAAACACAATAGCCCCAGGATGTCGAGCTAGATTTTGTGAGCCCTGTATATATAGTTTGGGCAAAAAAGATCCATAGTGTCTGTTTTATTAGTTGTAAAGGAAAAATAAATAAATATTTAGGGATTGATTGGGAAAACATTTTTAAAATGCACCTACTACAAAAAAGAGCAATAAGACGGCATTATAAAATAAAAAAAGTGCGCTTTGATTTTTGAATGGCAAAGACGTGCTCACCCACAGACATTCACAGGTTCATTTTGAGGTATCAGCAAAACAACAAAGCTAATGCTTTTCACGAAACTTACGTAATTACCCATTATACATTGTGATATAGCCTGGTTCGTTGGTCCGTTGGATCGGATTGCTTTCTCACTACAACCGAACCGCTCCAGAGTTCGTTTTCAATCGAGCCGAGACCACCTTGTTCAAGCGATCTCGGACCGATTGTTTTGGCGCGGATCCGAGTGCGATTGCCGTGTTCACATATGCTCAAACGAACCGAGCTAAGGGGGGATATGCGCCAGGTTCCGAAACAACAGGCCAGGTGTGAAAGCATCGCGTTGTTTTCTACAAAGCCCCTCCTTCTGACAAGCTCAGTCTGCTCTGATTGGCCAGCTGACCCAGTGCATTGTGATTGGCCGAACACCGCAAGCACATGTCGGAAATGTAACACCCCTTTCCATATTCGCGAGCTTCAGCTTTCAACATAAATGTAAAGACAGTACATAATGTCAAGCCCCGGTTTCTTTTCTACGCATTAATATTTATATCCGGTTACAGTAAAATCATATAAAACAGTGAAATCGCTCAGGAAATCTGTCCTGTCTTGCCTGCACTCGAGATGGTGACGTGTGAGTGCCACTGACAGATTCTTCACTCCTATTGGTTGTCGCTCGCGAAATTCGCTGTTCATTTGCATAAAGTTAAACATTTCTTAAAGGGGTCATATGATGCGATTTACAATTTGTCCTTTCTCTTTGGAATGTTACAAGCTATTGGTGCATAAAGAAGATCTGTAAAGTTGCAAAGACTAAAGTCTCAAATCCAAAGAGATATTCTTTATAAAAGTTAAGAGTCAACCACGCCTACCTAAAACGCCTCGTTCTAACACGCCCCCACATATCTACATCGCTCTGTGGGAAGATTTGCATAACACCGCCCAAATGTTCACGCAAAGAAAGAAGGCGTAACTTTTATTCTCGCTGTAGTTTTGTTGCCGCCGGTCGCTGAGGAAATACAACAGTATGGTGAGGGGCGTAACATTTCCGTCACACGCTTGAGGTATTCAGCCAATCACAATCCACTGGATAACTGGTCACAGCACACCTCGATTTTCAGACCGATGAGCTTTGTAAAAATCGACGCGTTTCAGAAAGGCGGGGCATAGAGGAGAAACAATAATGTACAATATGTGGAAAATAAAGAGTTTTTTTTTACTTTAAACCGCATAAACATTTCATTACACCAAATACACAAAATAATGTTCTTTTTAGCAACATCATATGACCCCTTTAACTTTTGTCGCTTGACTCGCATCGCTTGACCCGCCAGAGTCACGTGACAGACACAGTGATGATGCTTGTATGTATTTGCAGTACACAAGCTGCGATTAAGAAAGCTGACTCCACTGTGATGTGACCCTGTCTCTCTCTCATGCACAGGCACACACACACACACACACACACACAAAACGCGATACTCTACACAGCACAAAACTCCACATTTGAACAGTCAGTAGCAAATACTTAAACTATTAGGAAAAGATACTTACAGTAGCAGATTCAGAATAAGCACCAGATTGTCATAGCAAAGTCGGAATTGACCCTTTTTTTTAAAATAGCCTTTGCACAGCCAGCCTTGTAGGCTACTCTCCTAGGTTCACAAAGCTGTCGTTCATAAAATGCGTTGCACAAATTCGAACATCTGCGTTGTGTTGTTCTGTTGTAAATAAATCTTAACCAATGATTCCTCATTGCATCTACTTCCGGAAGGCCAAATAAAGTGCTTTTGCTTTCGCACTGAAACACAGCATCTCCCTGACATGGCTGCATCAACACTACTGCTGTTCCTGAAACCACGCCTTCTTTCTTTGCGTGCACATTTTAGCGGCATTATGCTAATATTTCCACATAGTGAGGTAGACATGTGGGGGGTGTTTGAATGAGGCATTTTAGCCCGGTCTGGATCGGCCTTCTCTTTTAGATAGAATAAATCCTTTTGTGAGAGACTTTGAGCTTTGTAACTCTGCAGATCTAATACATGCACAAATAGCTACATAACACACTAAAGAAAACGAAAAATAGAAATTGCATCATATGACCCCTTTAACATTAATGAGACAGACAGGTATTTAATTAGGCTGCTGTCCCTTTAAGACCGAATTAATATAATATACTGACACATATCCGGTTTTCACCCACCTGTTTATGTTCACTTAAGCCATAACCGAATGTATTTATATGATATACTCCACACAATTGACATTTTGACAGCTGTGTGTGTATTTAACAATTAAGGCACATGCAGAACTGATCACAGAACTGGGATCGTGCGGGTGCGCGGCCGAGACAGCGCTTCTGGGTGTCTGTCATTCAGCGTGATTCCGCCTATCTATACCGCCTTCACTTACTCCAAGTTAATCGATAACGAATTGTGATTGGATGGTAATTTGGTTTTACAACAAGCTTACTTACCTTTGATTAGGCTGTTCTCACGTGACAGAACACTTCTACTACTCGCTCTGATCACCCAGTTGTAAAGAAATTTTGAAATACGGGACAAAACATGATTTTTTTCAAAATAAGTTGGGACACTAAAAAAAGAGCTGAAATATGGGACTGTCCCGGGAAAAACGGGACGTCTGTTCACCCTAAGCAAAAGACTTCTCTGGAGAACGACGTACCACCAGAGGAAGTGTCGTTGAACAGGTCAGGAACACCTTTTACACTCTCCGCCCATAACGTCTCTAATTAGCAATGACAACACACGTTAATGCTACACTGCCACCAACAGTCAGAAAAGGAAAAGACAGGGTTGTCACAATAAATTTACAAAGTTGTGACCGTTCTGTTTTTGCTTTGCCATTATGGTGTATGGAGTGTAGATTGATGTGGGGAAAAAAGACAGCAGTTTAACATAAGGCTGCAACATAACAAAACGTGAGAAAAGGCACTGTTTATTTTTATTTTATTTTTTTCACACAATGGTAATAAGTAGTATATTGAATTGGTAAATATGAAAAAATGCAGTAAAGTTAGTTATTTATCTTACTTAATAATTCCATATTAGACATTTTTGTTGTCATGCTGATCAAATGTAACTTACTTGTAAATAGCATAATTGCAAAGATTTTACTCCTCATCTTCCAGGACATGCCCCTTTTTGTATGAAAAAGCACAAATCCAGATTAAAAGAAAAATTTCAGAGAATCAGTGAAGGAATGTCAAATCAAGGAAGTTCAAGACTTCTGAATGAGATCTACACAGAGCTGTTCATCACAGAGGGAGGGAGTGGAGAGGTTAATAATGAACATGAGGTGAGACAGATTGAGACACAATCCAGGAGACAAGAGACAAGGGAAGCACCAATAAAATGCAATGACATTTTTAAAGCCTCACCTGGACAGAACAAGCCCATCAGAACTGTGCTGACTAAAGGAGTCGCAGGAATTGGAAAAACAGTCTCAGTGCAGAAGTTCATTTTGGACTGGGCTGAAGGAAAGGCAAATCATGATGTTCATTTCATATTTCCACTTCCTTTCAGAGAGCTCAATTTGATAAAGGAGAGAAATATCAGCCTGTTGGACCTTCTACGTCAGTTTTTTATGGATACAAAGGAACTGAGAACAACTGATATTCAAGACCACAATGTCCTGTTCATCTTTGATGGTCTGGATGAATGTCGACTTCCTCTAGATTTCCAGATAAATGATTTTTTGTGTGATGTGACAGAATCGGCCTCAGTGGATGTGCTGCTGACGAACCTGATCAAGGGGAATCTGCTTCCATCTGCTCTCCTTTGGATCACCTCTCGACCAGCAGCATCCAGTCAAATCCCTCCTGAGAGTGTTGACCGGATCACAGAGGTACGAGGGTTCAATGACCCTCAGAAGGATGAGTATTTCAAGAAGAAAATAAGTGATCAGAGTCTGGCCAGTAGAATCATCACACATGTCAAATCATCAAGGAGCTTCTACATCATGTGTCACATCCCAGTCTTCTGCTGGATTTCAGCCACAGTTTTAGAGAGAATGTTGAGTGAAGCAGAGAGTGCAGAGTACCCCACGACTCTCACTCAAATGTTCACACACTTCCTGATCTTTCAGATCAAACTAAAGACCCAGAAGTTTGATGGCAAAAATGAAGAATATCTTCATGAGCTCAGGAAGGGCGTCCTGTCACTGGCAAAACTGGCTTTTGAGCAGCTGAAAAGGGGGAACCTGATCTTTTATGAGGAGGATTTAAAGCAGTGTGGCATTGATGTCACAGAAGCATCCATTTACTCAGAACTGTGTACCCAGATCTTCAGAGAGGAGTTTGGACTGCACCTAGGGAAGGTGTACAGCTTTGTTCATCTGAGCGTTCAGGAGTTTCTTGGTGCTTTATTCAAGCTTCTTATTATTTTTCAAGATAAACAAACAAAATGTAACATCACAGATTTACTGAAGATAGAAGTGGACAAGGCCTTACAAAGTGAAAATGGACACTGGGACCTTTACCTCCGCTTCCTTCTGGGTCTTTTACTGGAGTCTAATCAGACACTTTTACGAGACATCCTGACACAGACAGGAAGCAGATCTGTCAGCAAACAGGAAATAGTTGATTACATTAAGATAAAGCTCAAGGAGGATACCTCTCCAGAGAAATCCATCAATCTGTTACACTGTCTGAATGAACTGAATGATCATTCACTAGTGCAGGAAGTCCAAACATACCTGAGCAGAACAGGTGTCCATTGTCTCTCTGGAGTCAAACTCGGCCCTGCTGAATGGTCTGCTCTGGTGTTTGTGTTGCTAAACTCAGAAAAGGAGCTGGATGAGTTTAAACTGAGTAAATATTATAAATCAGAAGAAGGTCTTCTGAGGCTGATGCCAGCTGTCAAGGCATCTAGAAAGGCTGAGTGAGTATTGTACAATTTAAAATAATGTGCTTAATTTTTTAATGTTTATTAATGTTTCATTCCTTAAAAGAGCAAATGTTAGATTGGAAGACAAATTTTGTAATGATAAAAACTGTGAACGATTACTACTACATGAAGTAGTCATCAAAATGTGGAGGACCATTAGAATATAACTTATTTTTTGTTAGAGTTTATGTAAATTTAATTTAAAAAAATGTAATATTAGTATGTTCCTCTATTATCTTTCAGTGCAAGACTATAATACATGCAATCATTTCTCTCTTAGTTTAAGTGACTGTAATCTGACCGAGAAGAGCTGTTCAGTGCTGGCCTCAGCTCTCAAATCAAGCTCATCATGTTTGAGAGAGCTGGACCTGAATTACAACAACCTGCATGGTTCAAGAGTGAAGCTGCTCTCTGATGGACTGAAGAATCCACATTGTAAACTGGAAACACTACAGTAAGACAATAAAGTAATTTTTATATGCAAGGTTGAATTTATTCTAAAAACGTTTGAGGACAGACAAATAAAGATATTTAATACTTTGAAGTGAAGTAGGCTCAGACATCCTGATGGTTAGTTAAAAGATCTGTTGAGTTCTCTTTCATCATCTCGTGTTCGAGATCCACCTATGGGAAGGGCATCCGTACCTGACCTCTGCAGAAGCATCCAATTGCACCAAGTCTGGCTAGACAGGCAGAAGCGCGCAGCCAATGCCAGGTAAGGCCCCACCCCCTTACCTGAGAGCATATAAGGCCTAAAATGCGCTGCTATACGACCTCTGGTTTAATTTTCACAGCTCGTTGGAATTTTCAGACATTCACATTTGTCTTCAGGAGGACATATCGCTCAGATCAGCCTCCGCCATACATGATCGTTTCGTTCTCTATTACAGCTGTGTCCTTCTGCAAGCCACCCATGCTGCACTTAATTTTAGGCTGTCCGCCTTTTTTCTCACTTGTTCCCTTTTTTGCCAACTGGTTGGATTTTACTGCCCATTCCAATGGCACTCTCCAAATCTGCCACTTCCTCCAGCAATTGCCTGTCGCGTGCCTGCCCGGCCGCGTGTGGCACACTTATCGTCACCAGGGATTCTCACCTGTACTGCGTGGTCTGCATGGGCTTCAAACACGCGGAGGAAGCTCTGGAATTCCCTGAAAATTGCAGCCACTGCCTGGCGCTTCCCAAGAAGCTCAGTCTCCGCAGGCATAAGGTGGCCGCTACTCAAAGTGCGGATTTCAAACAGTCGTACTCTGACGGGGAAACAGTGACGATGTCGCGCACCCGGGGGACTCCCGGGGAGCGCCAGAGTTGAGTTGGGCTGACCAAGCCGAATCCACCTTCCTCAAGGACATCTTAGTGGATGAACCCTCATTTGTAAACGAGCCGCCAGGAAGTTATGTCTTCCCTGGCAATCAGCACCACGCCAGGTTCCCCCTTCACGGCCATCTAATCCGCCTGCAGTGGGTCGCAATTTCCAGGGTCCAGTCAGAGCCAAACCTCGCAGGAAACTGCCAACGCAGCACGGTAACCCCCCGCCTGCAAAACCGTGGGGAAAAACATCCTTTGCCGCGGCTAAGAAACCCCCTAATTCCACTACCTCTGATCACAAACACAAACTGATGCACGGCCACGGGGGGCTTTGAGTCCATGTTCGTGGGTGGACAGCCCACGAGACGCCTGTTCTGCCCTTCATATTCCCCCGTTAAAGAAACTGTTGGCAAGGTCAGCCCCCCCCCCCCCCCCCTCAAGGTGGTTTCACAGTTCCCAGTGTTGCCCAGTGTGTGCCCTCCCATCCATCACAAGTCAGGGGATTTTCCTGTTCAAAAAGGAAAAACATTGAGAAAGGAAAGTGTGCACAAGCAGTGTCATCACACAGCTCCCTACACTTACATGTCACAATTTCAATATAGGCTTTGTCCCCAGTGTTCCCCAACACACAAAAAATAAAAACTTCAAAATAGGTAAAGAATCAAATTAATTCGTTAATAAGAGAGAACCTCTCTATGCAGAGAGTGGACATCTCCCTGCACAGAGGGAAAATCTCTCTGAACCCCTGCATGTCACCCCTAGTTCGTCCACTGCATCACATATGAACCAGCTGGGCACTCAAGAAGCCATCGCCTCACCGGCTTGAGTGGGGACACTCACAAGTTACGAGTTAGCTTGGCAGACTGTTTCTGCTCCCGAGTGGGTGACACGTACAATAATGCAGGGCTACAGACTGCAGTTTGTAATAAAACCCCTGCATTTCAACGGTCTTCTCTCTTCACACACGAAGGAGAGCGCCGCTCACATTCTAAACAAGGGAGCGATTCAGGTGGTACCCCCAATCTGATAAATCTGGGATTTTATTCCCGTTATTTCCTGGTTCTAAAGAAGGACGGCTCTCTCCACCCCATTTTGGACCTCTGGGTGTTAACACTTAAGAAAATACAATTTCCGAATGTTACCCCACGGCTCTCTGGCCCGCACCATAAAACAGAAAGACTGGTTCACATCGGTCGATCTGAAAGATGATTTTTTTTTCCACATAAGCATTTATCCGCCACACAAGAAGTCTTTATCTGAGTGAATACATGGCGCACTGATAAACTCACACTTTATTGTATTTTTGCGCTTCCTGCAGATTACCCTAATAATCATAATAAGCACGCACATTCTTTTCGTCGCGACTTTGACTGGCGCTCAGCTTCACGTTTTTAATGCGGCGTGTTTTTGAACAGTTACTTTAAAATAGCCTGTCTCAAGCTGCAGCGATCTGTTTCATTAATTTTTTTGTGCTGTGTTTTTACACTCTCATCCGAGTGAACACCTCCGGTAGCCTATGTGTGTCCGCGCTGCAACAGCAAACGCGTCCTGTGTATCGGCGTATTCATATGCGCTGAATACTGCCAAAGATTATGTGGTATTTATAGGCTAAAATAAAAGAGTCCACTTAAAACTCCCTATCTGACTCGTTTTTGTACTACTGTTGCTACTGAGTTTTGAAGTCAGCAAAAAGTAGTGTCACACATAGGCTAATCATGACCGATCATTGTTTACATCATCACTGTCACTTCAGAAAACTGGTGCACATCCCTATTAATAGTCCTACTATATATTATATGTAGCTAGTGTTGTTGGAATTCTTAAATATAACAATTAATTTGAAATAACCCAATAAATTCATTAAATAATTCATACTGTTTGGGATTTAAGACAAGTCTGGGGCTGTCCTGACTTTAAGAAGTTATTTAAGAAGATTATTTTCCAGAATTTGAGTTCTTCTTAAGTTTTGTCTTAAGAACAATCTTAAGAAAAAAGATAAGAATATTCTTAGGAAGAATTTTTGGGAATACAAAATATTCTTAACTTTTTTCTTCAGTTAAAAAACAAGAAAATTTGCCTCTGGGAATTCTGAGAATGAGAGCGTTCATGAAATGGGGTTTGTCTCTTCATCTCAGCCCATTATGCGATCTCTGCTGCTCTGTAACAGTGACGCGCGCCTGTACAGCAGCTCTGTGCCACTGGAGCAGCGCTGACTTTTACGCACAGGGAACCCCTCTGGGGATGGTGATGTTGCGGAAAGTCATGATAACAGATGTGTCCTTAACAGGCTGGGGTGCCACCCAGGAGGGCAGAACAGTGAACGTTTTGTGGCTGAGCAGACTGTGTTCAGCACACATAAATTATTTAGAGCTTTTGACCATATGGAAAGCTTTGAATTATTTTCTGCCTCGCCTGCAGGGACACCATGTGCTCGTACGCTGCGACAATACCACAGCAGTGGCATGTATCATTCGCCAGGGCGGTATGCGCTCGTCAAAGCTTCATGCTCTAGCTCACAAGCTTTTAGTGTGGAGCAGGCGGTTTTTCCTGTCCTTACGCGCAACTCATGTTCCAGGCATTCTGAACAGAGGCACGGACCTTCTGTAGGAGGGGAACCCACTCTACGAAGATTGGCACCTCCACCCTCAGATAGTGGGCTTGATATGGATGAGATTTGGACAGGCAACCGTAGATCTATTTGCCTCATGCGAAAACAGCCATAGTCCTATGTTCTTCTCCCTAAAGGACGTGGACGCGCCCCTCGGGGTAGACGCACTGGCCCACCCTTGGCCCAAAGTGCTGCTGTATGCTTTTCCTCCCTTGTGCCTGATAATCCCCACACTGGCCAGGGTGAGAGAGAAGGGCCTGTCTCTCATTCTGATAGCACCCAGGTGGCCCAAAGCACCGTGGCTGGCAGAGATAATCCCTCTGTTATATGCCAGGCCGTGGCGCCTCCCTCTCTCCACAGACCTATTGTCTCAGGCGAACGGGGAGATTTATCATCCACACCAACACAGGGTGGCTCTCTGGGCCTTGCCAGTGAGAGGACAAACTTAAATGCACTAGGGCTTCCCCCGCGTGTGGTTGCTACTATACAGAATGCCGGGGCCTTTTCTACACGGTCCTTATATGGTTGTAAGTGGCAAGTGTTTGAAGGGCGGTGCGATAAGCGTGGTCTCACATCATATCAGTGTTCAGTTCCTGATATGTTGTGTTTCTTACAAGACCTTATGGATAAAGGCAGGTCTTTTTCCACTATCAAGGTCTACCTGGTGGCTATTTCTGCCTGTCATGTGGGCTTTGGGGGCTCAACAGTTGGGCAGCATCCTCTAATCTGCAGATTTATGAAGGGTGCTCATCATTCTTTGCCAGTCATCCGGAGAACTGTTCCTGAGTGGGACCTCTCCATGGTGCATGAGGCTCTGTCTCAATATCCTTTTGAGCCCCTGGGAAGTATTTCCCTGAAGCTGCTGTCCTTCAAGACGGCTTTGCTCTTGGCCTTGGCGTCAGCTAAACATGTCAGTGAGCTATATGCACTCTCGGTTCATACCTTGCGCACTAAATTCTCTCTTAGTGGAGATATGTTTTTTCTTAAGCCTAACCCGGCTTTTATGCCTAAGTGCTTCCCTTCGTTCACATTGGAGGTGTTGGAGCTATCTGCTTTTCACCCTCCACGGAGGATCAGAGGCTGAATACTCTGTGTCCTGTTCGTGCATTACAGATGTATATAACCAGGACCAGTGCTTTCCGGAAGAGCGACCAGCTCTTTATTTCATGGGCACACCCTCACAAGGGGAGTCCGATATCTAAGCAACGCCTCTCACATTGGCTTGTGGAAGCTTTAGCTTTGGCATACGAATCGAAGGGAGTGCAGGCCCCAGGAAACATCAGAGCTCATTCCACGAGGGGCTTAGCCGTCTCTTGGGCCTTGTTCAGGGGAGTGTCACTGCAGGACATATGCTCTGCTGCCAGCTGGGCTTCTCCCCATACGTTGTGCATTACTACCGACTGAATGTCACCAAAACCTCGGTAGCACATTCTGTTTTAGGGGTGGGGTCTTCATAGCCCCTTCTTGTTATCTTCCCTTCTCCCTTTCTATTTACATATTGTAATAAAGGAACAAGGGTGAATGGGCCAGCAGGCCACGCACATTCATGTCACCAAGCATGCATTTGCATTCCTACCTGGGTGTTTTTATTTGTGTTGCTGGATTTCTTTACATGTGTGTGCCTCATACTTATTTCATGTCGTGCATGCGCACAGGGGTTATGTGTGTGTGTCAGGGTTGCCAGGTGCATGATAATGGGACGTGTCAGGCACCGCCCCTTTGGGCTGGCCGTCCTTCTCTGGCTTACAGAACCTCACTGTGATTGTATTGGGCAATCAGGGAGCTGTCCATGTCTCTCCCATAGGTGGATCTCGAACACAAGATGATGAAAGAGAACAATAGGTTACTGTCATAACCCCGGTTCTCTGAAACATCGAGTGGAGAGCTCCACCAGCTTTGCCCCGCTTGTCACATGAGAAGCAGCGCGTTTAGGCCTTATATGCTCTCAGGTAAGGGGGTGGGGCCTTACCTGGCATTGGCTGCACGCTTCTGCCTGTCTAGCCAGACTTGGTGCAATTGGATGCTTCTGCAGAGGTCAGATACGGATGCCCTTCCCATAGGTGGATCTCTCCACTCCATGTTCCAGAGAACTGGGGTTACGAAAGTAACCTCTTGTTTTCTTTAGTTGTTTAACATAGGAATCAATATAATGAGTGTGAATGCAGAGGTTACAGTTTATTGAAGGAATAGTTCACAAAAAAAAAAAAAAAACTGTAATTATTTATTCCCTCATATTTTATATTCATGTTGTATTCTCATGTAAAATTCTCTGAATAGTTGCAATTCACTATGCTGTTCACAGTGACCATGTCTGTTAAGCTCTAAATAGATGAAAAGTAGTCTAGGAATTTATCTGAATGGGGTTTTTTTTGTTTGTTTTTTTACTGAAATCAATGTTCAGATTCCAAATATGCACATTAGGGGTGACCTCGAATAGTCAGGATTCAATGCTTTGATAGGAGGAGCCAGATTCTACTACCAATCTCACAGTCGAATATTCGCGGGGTGTTATGATCATGCCATTTTGGCTATATGGGGGTGCTCAAATGTCTGATTTCACATAGAACTACCGGTTTTCTCCCAATAAGTTAATATACAGCCTATTATGATAATACTATAAGAATCTGAAAAGAAAGAAGCTTGAAATAAATATTTTAACGTGCGTGAATAAATCCAACCACCCCTATAGATTTAAGTTTCACTTTCCATAATCTGTGACCAACAGAGGAGAATCTTGGCAGCAGGGATTTCAAACTTTAAAGGGGTCATCGGATGCAAAATTCACTTTTGTTGTTATTTGAACATAAATGAGTGTTGGAAGTGTGTGTAAACATCCATCCTATAATGATACAAATCCACCCAGTGTTTTTTTTTAATCCCTATTTTAAAATCCCCTTTCTCAAATCAGGCTGTTCTGTACGGTGGCCGAGAGAGCTCAACGCGCCGCAACTTAAGAAAACACATGCAAATTGAAAAAACACCAGCAAATTAAGAAAACATCTTCATCAGTTTTTCACAACACACGCGCTGCAAATCCTCACAACACATGCAAATGAAGAAATGCGCTGCAAATAGCACGGACCACAACGGAAATGTTTCAAGGGGACCCAAAAAAGTGACTCATCAAATAATTTCAAATCAATACAAAAAATCCTAAAATTGGGCATACAATTTGTGCAGTGGCTATTAGTCAGTGGAGTTGTCGGTGAACTGAAAGGCGAGTTTTTTTGTTTATTTTAACACCCTGATTGAATGATTCCTTTTTATTTTAGATATTAGCCTAAATAATCTGACGAATTACACGAGTAACTGTGAAACGTTATATAAGATGGCTAACTTAATTAAATATTTTTATTTTTTATTTATTTATGATTTATTTATTTAAAAAAAAGAAAAGATGCTTAACTTTTTATTTATTTGTTTTTGTTCTGTTTATATTTCATTTTTATTATTCTTTATATATTTATTGTTGTATTCTGGTTGTGTATGTAATTTATTGCTATGACTGTATCCCCTGTGAATGTTATATCTTCAATAAAACAAACAAATAAATAAAACAAGGAATCACTAGCAGAAACTAAAAAAAAAAGCCACTGCACAAAACAAATCCCAGTCACTTTTTTGGGTCCGCTTGAAACATTTCCGTTGTGGTCCGTGCTATTTGCAGCGCGTTTCTTCATTTGCATGTGTTGTGAGGATTTGCAGCAAAACTGATGAAGATGTTTTCTTAATTTGCTGGTGTTTTTTTCAATTTGCATGTGTTTTCTTAAGTTGCAGCGCGTTGAGCTCTCTCGGCCACCGTAGGTTCTGAGATTCCTGTCAGAATGACGTAGTTCTGCACAAGCCCCTCCCACGATAGTTGATTGACAAGGGCGTCTTACTTTAGACCTGCCCTGAGTGAGCTGTGAGCTGTCATCAGTGTCATCAGTGCGCGCAGCTCACAACAGAAATGCAGAACATTAACATTTCAAACTACTGTCATATACATAACGTTATAATGAGAGCACTATTGTAAAAAATGTTGTGAATTCTTAGGGTTTTGCTGACGTTTAATGTTAACTATCTTTTAATCAAAACATAAAACATTATTTACCCCATCTGTATCTGCGAGGCATCCGTTACACATGTTCCCTGTGTGTTAACGTCAGTAATTATGACTGTCGAATATCTGACTTGACTCTTGGTAATGTATTTTGCCCCGCCCCCAAAACATATGATTCGACTATCAGTCGACTATCGGCAAAAGAATCGAAAATTCCGATTCGACTATGAAAATCCTTAGTCAGGGCCACCTCTAATGCACATTATTTTTTGGGGAAAAAAACAATGACATTGACAAACATGCTTACAATGATTAAATATCTGCATAAAAACCTTTTTCGTGTTATAAGAAAGAAATGACCAAAACCAATGTGGTTTAAACAACAAGAGTGTGAGCAAAAAAATGAAAGAAGTTTAATTTTTAAACTATTTATTTAACAGTCATGAACTTTATGAGAGATCCTATTCTCTTCAGATGACATTTTAGAATGCTGTTTATTCTCTGCAGGTTGTATAACTGTAATATCAAAGAGGAAGGTTGTGCTGCTCTGGTTACAGCTCTAAGATCAAACCCCTCACACCTGAGAGAACTGAAATTAAGCTGGAATAAATTAGAAGACTCAGGAATGAAGCTGTTCTCTGATCTACTGCAGGATCCACACTGTAAACTGGAGAAACTACAGTGCGTTCTTTTAATATATAACTATATTATAGTGTTGATTAGGTCTTCTTATTGTATTGCTAAACAAGTCTTTGGAATACTTGATTTGGTAACACTTCACGTAAAGCTTTTATGTATAATGCATTATGAAGAGTTATTAAAGGGGTCATGAACTGCCTTTTTTGTTATTTTTTACTGACTGTCTGATGTTATAAAGATTTTTACATAAAAAAACTCAAAATTTAGAAGTAATATGCTAATTTCTGTCCTGTGTTTAACCCCCCTCATCAGAACACTCTGTTTGAATAGGTATGGCGGCTTGTAGACTCAGAAGTAAATGCCCACCGCTATAATGGGCTGACAGTTGCGTATGTTTGTGTGTATGTTGTGTATGCATTATAAAAGTACCATTAAAACTACTTTTATAATGCATTATACAGGCTTTAAGTAAAGTGTTACCCATGATTCTTATTGGTCAGTTGCAGCACTTGGCATACAAATATTTATAAATAATGACCATGGCAGTGTTGTATGACTGACCACTCATCTGAATAGCCTATTTCTTACATTGCAATGTTCATCAAAATGATATTTTGGACCAGCTTTTAAAAAAAAAATCACAAAATAAGGTGCATTAAAAGTCAATAAATCCTTGATTAATATGAATATTTTAATTTAAAATGTGTCTCCACGTACTATTCAATACAATTCTAGTGCATTTAATCTTAAATTACAGCAAAGTAAGCAAGTTTTTAGATATGGTAAGATTAAACTTATTCAGCTATCATCTTGTTAGGGTGGGTACACAAAATGTTATTTTATCCTTGCTTCTATCATTCTATATGCTTTCTAGCTACATGTGGCTGTAAACATTTAATTTTAATGTGGCTTTAAGCACTATGCATCATTAAAGTTTCACTTTCACCATGACTAAGCTGTCTATGCTGACTAAATGGTGTTTACATGGAATAATCATGCGTTTACCTTATGGTACGAACCCAGAATCTCTGCATCAGTAGGAAAGCGATAGAACGAGTATCTTCCATCCAAAGACTTGTGTTTTATTCATGGGCTAAGCAAAAAAATAAAATAAAACATTGTCGAACAACAATATAATTTGCGGAAAACTATTAATTGGATATTCTACAATTAATTGTACTATAAATGTGTCACGGTGACTACTGTGTCGGAGCGAAGGAGCACGGAAATAAAGGAGTCACGAATAAAAGTCTTTATTAATTCATACAGGGGGTAACACAGGGCAGGCAGGAACACATGTAGCACGTAGCATCGACGAGGAATCACAGGACAGACTACACTTTAAATACCAAACTAAACGAGTGTAATAGACAACACACATGAACTAAATGACGTGATTAACAAGAGGGGAAACTAGGTCACGGAGACATTAAACGTCATGATGCCAAACAGGGGGTAACACAGGGCAGGCAGGAACACACGTCGACGACACCGGACAAAGGAATCACAGGACAGACTACACTTTAAATACCAGACTAAACGAGGGTAATAGATGAGACACACCTGAACTAAATGACATGATTAACAAGAGGGAAAACTAGGTCACGGAGAGCACATGGGGAGAGAAACACAGACAGTCCAGGGGCATGACAAAATTATACTACAATTGGAAAATACTGTAAATTGATAAACTGTTTGGCATCATGACGTTTAATGTCTCCGACAGTGCCTGTGGTCCCATTTAGCAACTTCTTATAGCAACCGTCTTTTTTAAGAAACGAAACGAATGGGGGGTAACTGGTCTGTTTTATACCGTAGAATAAAATGTGAAAGTATCTTGAGCTTGTGTGAACCACAGACCTTATTTTAGGGGATTTAATCAAACTCCCATTCAAAAAATATATTGACTCTGGGAAAATGGAACCTGAAGTGCTAAAATGCTAACTCGCTTCTGAGTTTTTGCCTACAAAGTGACGTCATAGTTCCACCACTCTATGGTGGATAGATTCCACACTCTATTTGGCTATGGTGATGTTCTACACTGAGATTTTTTTTTTCATAATTTGGACTAACTTTAAAACTTTAAAACCAAGAATTCTTGATAGACAAACTGAACAAAACAGGTTTAATCCAGAAACCATTATTTTCGTGATGATTTTGTGACATGTTTTGTGCATATGCAATAGAAATAGAAGCCACACACATGGGTAGCTAAGAATCTTTAGATATTTCAGAGCACAACATTGTTCAGGATGTGCATAATAGTTTTTTTTTTTTTTTTTTATCAATTATATAATTAACAGAATAATCAGTTTTCAATCTAATCATTAGATCCAGCCCTAAGGTGAGCTGTAGTTTTTGTAATTTCTTTCTGTCATTCAGACAGTTTCGCTCTGTCTAAATAGGCAATTAATGGCCAGAATCAGCTGTAGTGGATGAAGAGAGCATTTATATTACAGTGTGGAATGATTATTACTGTATATTTTCTGCAGGTTGTGTCACTGCAATATTGGAGAGGAAGGCTGTGCTGCTCTGGTTTCAGCTCTGAGATCAAACCCCTCACACCTGAGAGAACTAGATCTGAACAATAATACTCTTGGAGACTCAGGCGTGAATCTACTTTCTAATCTACTGAAGGATCAACACTGTAAACTAGAGAATCTACAGTGAGTTTTACTATTTTACCACATCTTTTGGCTAGTTTTAGTTTCACTTTGGCTAGTTAACAGCAGTTTCACTAAAACTGAGCAGCAACTGTATATATTTCTGTCATGACAACTCTCTGAGGGATTGACATGTTAATGTACATGACAATGCTAATGCATTTGGTCTTGACAGAATAGATCTGCTACGCTGCTGCTGCAGAGCAAGTACTTGTTACTTCCAACACATCCACAACATGCTGCTGTGAGCATGTAAGAAATACTGCTGCTGCACATATAACATACATGAAATAACCCCCCACAAAGCAGGAGACAAAACACCTTCCAACTAGCAGATCTATCACCAAGACATATGTACTGCTGCTGCTCCGAAGAGCCATACGAATAGCATGTATTACTATCTATGTGTGCCTGGGCTACCTTGCCGACCAGCTAAACACTAGTGACCTATGCCTATGTAAGCCTTGGCTACCATGCCGACCGGCTTAACTCTAATTAGACACGCACTATGTGTAATGTTAATGAACAAATTAATATACGTTGCAATCCGATAGATAAGACCCCAGCACCCACCTGAAAAAATTTCATAATTTAACCCTTGAACATGTATGATCACACCGGTGTGATCACTCTAGGCTGGTCCCTGAAGCATACAATCACACCGGTGTGATCACTCTAGGCTTGTCCCTGAAGCGTACGATCACACCGGTGTGATCACTCTAGGCTTGTCCCTGAAGCGTACGATCACACCGGTGTGATCACTCTAGGCTTGTCCCTGAAGCTTACGATCACACCGGTGTGATCATTGCGTACGATCACACCGGAGTGATCACTCTAGGCTGGTCCCTGAAGCGTACAATCACACCGGTGTGATCACTCTAGGCTTGTCCCTGAAGCGTATGATCACACCGGTGTGATCACTCTAGGCTGGTCCCTGAAGCGTACAATCACACCGGTGTGATCACTCTAGGCTTGTCATATTATCACAACTATTCACTGTTTCCAAGCATATAATGCAAATTTTAGGTTCAAGACATTTAAATACGCATAAGTACTAGCAAAACAATACATTTGTAGTTTGTAAAAATGCACACTGATGTCTATGGAAGCGGCAATAATGATCCTTACAAATATAATTTACACATTGTGTAGTTAACTATAAAGTTAACTCTGCTCTTCTCCCAGTTCACCAGAGACTTACTTTAATATCTTTTTGGGAGGGGAGGATGAATTTACGTGTTGTAAACCCCACAGCTTGGATTCAGCGCGAACTAACATGGCGGCACCCATCACCCGGTATAGATCAACTAACACGGTCATTATAAAAGTGTTTAAACTTGCAAATACATTTACTTGCACATATATAAGAATCGGAATATCTGATATTTAATAATAAAGTGAGCATGGTTGTGAATATTATAAAAAAGGAAACATGAAAGAAAAGCATGACGTGTCGCCATGGAAACAATAAGGCAATACATTCTAAAATAACTTGCAAAAGTGTCAGGGTTACAGTGCAAATAACTGAAATAAAAGCAGAATATAAACATTCTTCTTCCGTTTTTGAACTACACAGCACAGTAAGAATACATGTCACGTGAACACATTTCTCCGAACGACACTACCCATAATGCATTTCACTTGGGACTACAAGGATCTACACTATCATAGATAGTGATCTTAAGTGATAATTCTTATGTCCCTTCTTTTGCAACACTGCCATTGATATGACTGCTATAAGTGTGTGCTTCTGATGCTGAATCGACCGCACACTCAGCCAAAGACTATAGAATACCCAAGACATGTCACTCGTATAGTTTTGAATGAGGAAAAATGCAACGCTCAGTATGGCCACTCTATCGAACGAAGCCCCGCCTTCTGAGCAAAAGAGCCAATCGCTATTCGGTAATATCAGTGCGTCACTGCAGCTGCCGTTAGAAGTCCCGGTTGCTATAGAAACAGTCAGCGTTCTGAGACGTGCGCTTAGGACTGTCAGGGTCTGGCATCTGGTGTTCTCCCTCTCTCCTCCAGAGGGCGCCAGCTCCCGGACTCCCCGCCCGTTCCCGGTGCGTCCCGGTCTGACACGCAGCGTGGAGGAACCCCTGCTGATGTCGGTGCGAGCGGCGCGGTCAGCTCGCAAGGCTCCCGAGGCGGCGGTGCCCGCGCACGATGTCCCCGAGGCGGCGGTGCCCGCGCACGATGTCCCCGAGGCGGCGGT